ACTGGTGGTTTCCAAATGGGTCTGACCCACAATGGCAAACGTGATGAGAGATGCCTGGGAATTACAGCTGAGAAACAAGAAAGGACTAAACGTGTGTGTGTGTAATCTGTGTCTGTGTGCATATGGTTCTGCATGCTGCAGTTTTAAATATGTGTTGGGGAGAGATACTTTTGCACAATATATATATTTCTTTCCTTATGTGTGTATCAAAAAGGTGGCAATAGTAAAGTAGCTCTTACAGTGTCTGCATATCCTTATATAGTTAAATTAGTTATCAATTTGTAAGCTGCTTCAGTCATTAGGGCAGCTCTAACCCGCTGTTTCAGGATACAAATTTCCTAACTGAAATCTTAGTTTATTCAGTTTCTTAATGCTTCATACTACAAAAAATAAAATGAAAAGTATAAGTATTTAATGTTCAAATGCATTTGTAATGAGCATATTTGAGATTCTAAAGCAGCAAAACCTGCTAGATAAATATTCATATCTGTATTTTTAAACTAAGAATGTTTACTAGGAAATAAACTCCTTCTGAACTAAGTGAAGCTTATTTTTGAGTAAATATACCCAGACTCCAATAGTTAATACCTAAAGAACTTTAAAAAAATAGGCAGACCTATAGGAAGCTGGTAAATGAATGACATAAAAGCATCCTAGCAATTAGTTTTCATTCTTTTTTAAAAGTGCATATTGGGATAAGTAAAATAACATTTTATGTTTTCAGATTTCCTGGAGGATGTCACATCCCATGAAAAATCAAATCTCAGTTATGTGATTTAGTATTTAGATATAAACAATTCATTTACATTCCATACAACCAATACCTTATAAGAAAGAACCTCACCTCAGGAAATAACTTCCGAGCAAACCTTGATATTTATCGGTGCTCCTAAATCTACAGAATAATTGTTAGTTTTAAGTGAAACCTCTCCCTGCCCCTAAGCACACCCCTTTTGCTAGAATGTTTGCAAAATAAGAATTTCATCCCCCATCCTGAACAAAACTTTAGCTACAGATTTAAAAGGGCTTTATTCTTTTGAAATTATTATTCTCCCCCCAAATGGCAATTTGCTAAGATGTCAGAGCACCTTGCTGAGTTAAGCATGTGAAAAGCTATATGAAAATTGTGACAGAAATGAACTCCCTTTCACTTTCCACTAAGAAAGGGCAACATCCATTTTCGTAATAAAAACAATAAGCCAAACTACTCTCTGGTCCCTCCTTTCCTTCCTTCTCACCTCACCACTGGTAGTAAGGTGAGACTGGATCCCAAAACAGCAACCACAAAAATAACAATAATTAAAAATAGCTGCAAGGAAGAGAACCAATAAAAAGAGCTGTGTCAACATTTGAGGAAAAGTGGGCTTGCAAGTGCAGTATTTCTTCATGTGCAGTATTTGTTTTTCTACTTCAGTGTCTCCTTTGGAAAAGAAGGCTTAGTGGAATGTATGTTCTCCTCGGACAATGTGGGAAGAGAACTCATATCGGTCCTGACTCCGGTATCCACAAATGTTGCATTCTAGGGGGTCCCGATAGCCATGACACCCCATATGAATGGTGTACATGACATGGTCTAGGAAAAGAATTCGACAGTGTTCACACTTAAATGCCCTTATCTGCTCTCCTTCTCCATTGAAGACCTTATAGATATCCTTTAAAGAGCCCTTTGATACTTTACTGACCTCCAAAGCCTTGGAGTCATCCTTCATGTAAGCTGGGCTTTGCTTTCGTTTGGGATTTAAGGCAAGGTTTCCTTGAAAGGACTGGTGGTCTTCGTGGCTGCTCTCCGAGTCAGAGGAATCGAGGCAGCTATTGCTAGGTGACGCCTCTCTTTCTTGGGGATGACTCTTTGGTCTGATGAGGGAGAGAGGGCCATCCACATTATTTTCATTGCTGTCAGTGGTTCCTCTGCTTACTGGTCTTTCTATCCTGTTAGGGTTGTACACCTGAGCATAAGCTGAACTTATGACAGGTGCCACATCAGCAATTGTGCTTGGAGTGTGCTGCACAAATGGATGAAGTCCCTCTGCCCCAAGGTAAGAGATTGCATTGTTGATTGCTTGGTCCATCATGTGAGTTTGCATCAGCTCAGCATCTCTCTCATATGGTAAGCTTGGATCAAAATGAATATCTGGATAACCATATCTCACGAGCTTTTCACCTACATGAGAACAACAGTAAGAAGGAAAAAAAATACCACTAATGAGATAAGAAATGATAGATCAACAATGCAAATCCATTGGTAGAAACTGATACATAAAATTTCGCTTTAAAAAAAATATATCCCAGAAATGTTTACTCAAAAAGAAACTATATTCCATGGGATTTACCAACCAGTAATTGTGCAAGGGACTCTTGGCAGAATCTGAAGTATTTGCTAAATTAGCAACAATGGAATACAAATATAATCAAACCATTATCTTTGATTTTCATTTTAAAATTCCGTGATTTATTTAACTTTTATATTTTACAATCCATAGGATCTCCATAAACTGGAAAATTCCATTAATTTGTGTCAATTCAATTCATTTTGTTTTGATGATGTGTTCTCACTTCAGATTTACATATTAGAATAAAATACATACTACTTTCCAAACATCAAAAATATATACATGCTGATTTATAATATTTCTAAACAGTGACATAATTGGATTGTTATTTTCAAATAATACAGGAACACAAAGTTTACATATGGAAAGAGATAACAATAATGTATCTTTCTTTTAAAATACGTTAGGTGAAACATAAAAGGGCTCCATAAGATATGGAGCCCTCAAGCATTGAAGCAACTAAAATGAAGAAAAATGAGACATCCTATTATAGTTTCTAAAATGTTGATGCAAATGTTGATCATTTGAGAATAAACCATATAAAACAATATTGACATTATGTATTCACAGATGACACAATTTATTAGAATCAGTTTTTTCAAAAATATTATACATCAGAAGCAGTCGTGGGGTTCAAATATGTGAACAACCGGTTCTCTGTGTGGATGCCACTTCCAGAAGTCCATTCTGGGCCTGGGCAACAAAAGATTAGTTACCAGTGGTGCGAACTGGCTGATTCCCACCACTGATCAGAAGTGAAAAATGTGTGCCTCACAAATCAGGCTTCTTCCCATCTTCAGTGCAGATTGTTCATTCAAGGTAACATCCTTATATTACCAATTTCAGAACTGAGCTCAGTCATTTTGGATCATTTGAATTTGTCTGTATATGCCCAAATGTCCTGACTATCTGAGCAAATCAAGAAATCAAGGAAGAAAGTTTGAAGTTTAGGCCTTAAGAAGCCTTAAAGAAGGTTAGAAGAGGGGAAAGAACGAGATAGTAAAAGGATTGCATCAACAGAGGAACCAGATGGAACTTTTCCTTTTCTCCTATAGGTGACTTTTGGAGGGCATGCTGACCTTCACTCTCATAATACTAGAATAACACTCAACCCTGATATGATCTTGGATGAAGTACGCATGACTGAAGGAGAAGCAAAGTCTGATTTTGTACTATCTTAAAGAAATACTCAATGTAACAACAGCATAGGTCTGAGAAGGAGGAGGAAGAGGTTGTAAGACTTCAGTCATTAAAAAAAACATTTAGAACAATCCAAAACATACACCACATGCATAAATGCACATATATTTTTCTGCTAATCACTACAAGTTGTATACAGAATATAGAGATTTATTGCTTATTCTCTACTTGTATCCTCATTTGTTTTGGCAGAATCAGTCTAGGATCGAAGATGATAGGGGATTGAAGATAGGGGATTTCAGTAACCTATGCTAACTAACTCCTTCAAGTCCAACTCAGGATATTATAAATATTCTGACAACTGTGGGACCATATATACCAATTATAGAGCTAACATATTATATATAGTACAGTTCATTTTCTCAATTTGGTTTGGGGTTATTGTGGACTGATGGAGAGAAGACCACTTATTTGTCACTGATGGATACTCTCTAGTAAGATATGAGCTGGCAATGACTGGCACCTATTACGATCATCTGCTTCCAGAGATTTATAAAATCCAAGGATTCTTGTTGGCCCTGAGTGATTTTCCAGGCGATTTAGCTGACAATTCCCTTTAGACCACAGTCACATAATTGAATGGTGAGATGAGAGGGGCTATTGATTAAAAGTATCACTTCAGAGCACCCATCTCTGATTCTAAATTCCACTTAGAATACTCCGTAGTTTTTCATGCATTCTGAACAATGAAATAAGACTGTATTCAGCTAAAATGGAGACAAAGTAAATTGTATTCTTCTGGTTACAGGTTACCTTCCTGTGCTGGTAATAGTGTTGTGAAAAAGGTATAAAGCTTGTTCAGGCCCATTTTTAAGTGCTTACCCATTGGTTAATAAAACACCATGCTATAATTGGAGAATTAAAATGTTCATCATCCATGGCAATTTAGATGCCATAGTTATTGCAGGATCTATAGAGATTATAGCTGTCAGAATTTGAAATTGTCACCTACTGTAATTACTTATTTATTTACATGTCTTTGTATACCAGCCAGTTCTCAAGACTCTTGGTGAAATCTGTGAATTAGTTAAATTGCTTGTAATGGTTAGGGTGATTACTTGTTCTATGAATCTTTGCTTATCATGACCGGCAGTACCTAGCATGAAGACTCAAACTGGTGGGACTGGAAAGGAATTAATGCCTTATAAGGTGGGGATATGTCTTCCAGTATGAAACATGTAGTGGTGTAACCTCTCTTTAAGAGGTTCTGCATGGACACTAAGTCTTGAACAATGACAATCCACTTGCAAATTCTCTTTTTGGGGACAATGTAATTAATTGGCTAGCTACAATTGAAGCAGTTTATTATCTAGGCAAATTTCATTTATCAGTGCATCACTGATAACAGCCTTGGTTACCCTAATATTCTTTTCTAAGTGAAAAATGGGAGGAATATTACTGAAAATCCAGTCCCTGGACCAGCCTTGTGATTAAGGAACTGGAAGTGCAGTATTTCAGTAATTCTGTTTCTATTTAAAGGATTGCTACCAGAAGTGGTATTAGGAAATTTTTGTTCCAAATTCTCTTCTTCCTGTTGTTTAGCTTCTATGTGAGAAGTTAGGGACTGCTTTTAACAAATCAAAAAGGAATGCTTTTCATAACAAAAAAAATGATTAAAAAAACTAATAAGATATAAGAAGTTACTATAGGACAGACATGTCAAACCCGCGATGTCACGTGATGTATCGCGTAACGTATCAGGACGGTTTTGCCATTGCCGGCAATGGGGTGGGTGCAGCTTCTGGATGACGCGTCCGGCCCAGGGGCCGGCAGTTTGACACCCCTGCCATAGGACATCAGCTGGAGATCTGAGGCTCATTGTTATTGATTGATTGATTCAGTTTGTAAGGTTGCCTAATTCTACAAGTAATACAAAATAAAGTAAGAGCAATGAAAAGAAAAAAACCCTGCATTGTGGAAATTCAAAAGATTGAAAACATCATAACATTAAACATAATATACAAGGCCTGCTAGAAAACCCACATTTTAAAATCTTTTCTAAAGGGTTGGGCCCATTGGTGGATGGCTATTCCAGAGGGCAAGAGAGAAGGCACACACAGAATCAGAGAGAATGCACAGTTCCCGGGTCGCATAAGATGACAATATTTTATTTTGTTTTTTTAAAGGGTCTCAGAGCATGTGAAAAATGCAAATATTATAGAATGGGGAGAAATAGATAGAAACATGCAGCCCTATAAAATCAAGCCCCTAAACCACACATAGCTTTATAGATGACAATGAACACCTTGAATTGCACCTAGAATCCTTCCTCTAATCAATGCAGCTTGATTATTTTGTTTTATGGTTTTTCTCTGTAATAGTGCATAGTTCTGTTTTCATGTGATTTCATAATCATACTCTGTAATTCTTTAATATTGGGAAAAAAGGACATTAAACTTTTTATATATTTATTCAATAACATTTGTAGTCAATCACATAACAAATTACACAAGGACATTATTTTGCATATTTTCATATAAACTTGATTAAAGAGCAATTGGAATGGATTTGCCTGCTTACTTTTTCCAATGGTATACAATTCTACAAAGAATTATGGTGGTTTCATAAATTGGCAATTGCAAAGAAGATAATCATTCAACGATTGAATGATTTATAGTCTTAGATTATAGATGACTGCTCATTTCATGATTATGAACTGACACCCCATTGATGTAATGGAAAGACTGATTAATATTATTTTGAATGGTCAAGATTTAATTACTTTTGCAAAAAATCAATATATGCTGTGTGATTATATATGTATGATATGCCTTACATATCTTACCTGCCATATATTTTGTTTTGTATGTACAAAAAGAAAAAAAATATTTTAGAAAATATGTACAGTATTGCCCTATTGATTTTTCTGTGATCTTATTTATTTATGACTACAAATTATATGCCCCTCCATTTGCAAAGACTTTCAGACGTTTACAGCTTTTAGTTGGGATAGCTTGATCTTACATACCTCAAAATACCTTTCTAAAGAGCCATGTTTCTACAGCTCTATAGAAGTATAATAAGGATGCTGTGGTCTGGATATCTTTTCTAAAGGGTTGGGCCCATTGGTGGATGGCTATTCCAGAGGGCAAGAGAGAAGGCACACACAGAATCAGAGGGCAATCAGAGAAGGCACAGCTCCCGGGTCGCATAAGATGACAATATTTTATTCTGTTTTTTTAAAGGGTCTCAGAGCATGTGAAAAATGCAAATATTATAGAATGGGGAGAAATAGATAGAAACATGCAGTCTGGATATCTGGGGACAAGATGTTCCAAAGAAGAGGATTTCTCACTAAGAAGGGTTGAATCTGAGATCCCTGAATCCTTAGCAAGCCCACTCTTCCATCTTATTGGAGACACTGATTCAACATGGAGAAAACGATCATGGCAATACCTAAGGTCTAAGCCACAAAGAGCTTGAATTGTATCCAGAGGCTAATTGGCAGCCACTGCAATTCCTGTAGTAATGCAATTAAAGAGGTGAAGCTCAGGACACTCACCCATAACTCCCTGAAAAACTGCATAGTGCATTAATGAAGCTTTTGAATGGTCTTCAAGGCAGCCCCATGTAGACTGTACTACAGTAATTCAGCTGTTAAATGCCAAGGCCTTGAGCAATTTAAAGTAAATTAAAGAAAGTCCACAACTACTGCTGATGGCCAGAACCTCTACTTGCTGTTCAAACAGGATCCAGGAGTTCAGGACCCCCAAGATGTGGGTCAGCTCTGCCTGGGAAAGCACTACCTCACCAAAAGTCAAATATAGACCATCACTGGACACAAATCCACAGCCTTCGTAGGGTTTAGTCTAACTCTGTTTCTCTCTATCAACACTAAGGCACCAGGTCAGAACCTCCATCACACAGTATCTCTTGCGCATCTGAGACTGGAGACAGATCATTTAAAACTAATTTATAATTAAAACCTGATAGATTCCCAATATCTCACTGGCATTTTGGTAAGAAATATGTTTACATAGCTAATTCTTCATTTGCCTCTAAATATTTAACTATAAAATATAAATATGGATAAAGCTATAGTTAATTTTAATACGTGATCTGAAGAAATGTATACAGTATTTATTCACTTACAATAGTTATTATGACACTGAGTGAAGAATTATTTTATTTTCTCAGATTCTAGGGGATTATATTTTGAATCTAAGGTTTTATTTTTATTTTGTTTTAGCTTTTCTCTGAAGCATGACATTTTTACTCCCTTTCTTTAAATTTCAACTGTAAGATTACAATACTGTCTTAGTTTCATCTGAGAGTAAAAATCAAACTCTAGATCCGAAAGACATAGTGTACATCGTGTTTCAGCTTTCTCTATACTAGAGTACAATTCTTTTTTCTGAAAAGGTAGAACTATTGATCTTTGCTCAAATTATCATCCTTTCTACACAGAATAGAATTAGCTTTCTTTACAGATGTTATAAAATTTAATATGTGATTAGGCATACATTGCCAAGATAAATATATTCATGCATAATTTCTGAAAAGGAAACACATATTTTCATAATTATTGCATTGTGCAAATGTTTTAACTATTTTAACTATTTTAACTATTGCAAATGAAGCAACTTTGTTCTGTTGTTATTTATTTTTATAATATACATTATTTCCCCATTTTTCTAAGAAATAATATGATGGATTTTATCCTCATTTTTTTGTGTTTCTGATCTTATTCTGCCGGCACAGGTGGGAATAGCTGAAGCTTCTACCAAAACAACCTGAATCCAGAAAATACAAATCTAAACCATCATAACAGGTTAATTTATTCTTCAATCAAAGTAAAGCTTTGGTAAACAATGTAGAATAAATATTCATTAATGATGGAGATTACTGCCAATATATTGATTTATTACATGCCATTAGTGTTAAAATCAGAGTCCAATACGATTTAACAGGATCAGGCTGAACATGTTTACATTTCTTATGAAATGTAACTCTTTCTGCAAGGTAACCCTTTTTGTGAAAAGCAGCCAATTGGAGCTGCCATGTTTTTATTTATTTTACTGGTCACCCAGGAGCTCTTTTGATCACTAGGGCCGATACAAAGCCTTCAAGTGAATGCTGGGATTGCTTACAACCATCCAAAACTCATTAGTTACCTTACCTATATCCAGGGTCTCAGGTGGGATGAGGGATTCCTACAGCAAGCCCAGGGCCCAAGTGGAGAAACTCCAAGCCCTAAGCCTGCGAGGTCCTTCACAACTGAGCAGCCTCACCCAGGACTCTTCATCTGAGCTTCAGAGAATCTTGGCTTGCTTTATTTCCTTTTTTTTTTTTTTGGCCCCTGAGAATTTAAACATTCAGCTACCCTGCCAGGTTTTTCATTTATTTTCCAATATGGGTTCAATTCATTCAGCTGGATTTCCTTTTTGTTCCCCGACTGCTTCAAATCCCTCATAGGGCATACAAAATTATGTGCTGTACCTCATGTCTTGTCCATGTACTCACTTCCCACATCCTGATTTTGTAATAAGAGAAACCAATATTTACAAGGCAAGCCCAATAATACTTAGGTTAGAATACTTCTATTGTGGTTTAGGCAGACTAAAGAAAAATATTCTTTCAACAGTATGACTGTTTTAAATAGCATTGTATAACATAGCAGAGGGTAGAGTAAGAGTGTTAAATATTAATGCTAATTTAAAGAAATCCCTTCTAATATAATGTGAACAAATGTTCTACTCAGAACAATCTGTCATACTTTTTTACCACCAGATTTTCAAGTTTGCACATACTCCTATGATCTAAAATCATGCCTTTTTATTTAAAAAGTGAATGATTGATATTCACCAGTTCATGGGGGCTACAAATTATATTCCACAGTATTGGTGCTATGGCCATTTTAAATTCTAGACCTTCTTGGTTTACCTCATCTCCCCCTCCCCCAACTGATTTACGCCCATACTGAAATTGCCAATGAGAGCATTCAAAAGTTTAGGATTTAATCATAGGCTACCCTTTTTGCTACACACAACAAAAGTGCTCATCTGAAGCTTACCCACAAACTTCTGTGGGGTGGAGCTTTTACGCTTTCCCATGTTGCTTGTCAGCTTCTCTATAACAGCAGGTCTTTCAAAAGGCACCAGAGTAACATTGTTGTCCATCACAGCTTCTTGCTCCTTACAATCTTCCATAGTAGAGACTACATAAAACCAAAAAGCCAAATCAGAAAGATCTAACTACACTTCCAAGAAATGTTTAATTGATAAACAGAATGATCAACATGGTAAACTTTGCAAACTATAATTTATTAACATGTGCCGTTAAAAGCACGAGGGAGAATTAAGAGTCATTCAGTAATGATCTCCTCCTTTGGTTGGGGACCCTCTGGGCCTGAACTCACATCTGAAGGAAAAAATGTCAGAGCGGGGAAAACAGTGGCACCAATTCTCCTAGCAAAAAAGGCAGGGAAGAGGAAGATTTAGGAATGTTACTACCAGATGGTGATCACAGATACAAGGGTATGTTTCTCTAAGTAATTGCATAAGCCAAGAATCTGCAAGACCTTTTGGTAAGAACATACATTATTCTCCAACATATTAACTCTCACAAATCAATAAAAAGTTAAGTAGGCTGATATGAAACACATTATAATGGCAACATTTCAAAATACTACTAACTTTATTACCAAAGACAAAAGAAAAATAGCCTTCTATGTTAGGGAATATGCTGATTTCTATATTTTATTTCTAAACTGGTTCTGCTTTTCTAATAATCCAAAGTGATGCCAAAACATACACAATATTGTTCTCTCCAACCAAAAAAACTGTGAGTCCTAAGCAACCCTATTCTTGAAGATTAATAAATGAAGGCTTACATGATGCAATCTAAGTCAAGGCATGAAGGGAAGGGAGGCTACTGAAGGAGAAAAAAGAAAGACTGCGAGTATTTCATCTTTTCTTCCCAGGGTAAAAAAATATTTGTATCGGGACTTCCAGTGGCAGGCGACTTCGCTGGACGCAGCTGTTTGCTGCTCCCGCCTGTTTCTGCGTAAAAGCCGTTTTGACAGCCTGCATCAGCTGTCAAACGGCCTGATACCTTTCCCCTGGGCTTAGGGGGATAGGTGAGCTGCCCGAGGTAGGAGTTGAGTTCCC